GCTTCATTAAGATCCAATTATAACATTTCGCCAAGAATAACAACTGTTTTTGTTGCGCTTTGAATTTTTCATTCTTCTTGTAGGATTGAGGTACTTCGAATCGGGACCTTTTCTAGGGCTCATATAAGACTGTTTAAGTTTACTAAGTCATGGATTATGCGGAGATGGACGACAAGTCGAAACCGTTTGACTTTGATGTGACGCACAGAGATCTTATACATCAGGTTTTTCAATACTGTTTCAAAACCGTGCATTCTTTTGAGTTTATTTTGGTTCGAATTCAAGGTAGCTTTCGATCATCATGGTCGACGTTTGGCGACATGTTCTAGTGACATGACACTGTCAGTTTGGGATCGAACACCTGATGGAAGTTGGGTTAAAGCAGCTAGCTGGAAGGTTCATTATAGTGATGTATTAACTCTGCAATTTGGTGCATTCATTATTATTTGATTTAGGTACACGGTGGCGCCGTTTGGAGAGTTGTTTGGGCTCATCCAGAGTTTGGACAATTGTTAGCGACTTGTTCATATGATAGGAGCGTCCACATTTGGGAGGAAATAAGAAGCGCTCCTGGTGCAGGTAGATTTTCCTAGATTTTTAGAGGCCATTTTTTGTTCAAGATTTTTCAAAATACTTGAGTAATTGGTAATACATCAAACAAGTTCGGTAAGCGCAGACATCAAAACTATTCATGTATTAGAACCATATGACGTTCGAATCTCTGGACTTGGTTAATGGTGTGCATCGGACTATAGGTGATAGCATCGTTTTGACTTTATATCTTTAGAGGGACGAAAAGGAGCTCGATGGGTTCGAAAAGCTTATCTTACTGACAGTAGGGCGAATGTGACGGATATTGCGTTTGCACCTCGACATCTAGGACTCATGCTCGTAAGCTGCAAGGTTTTGATTGAATGGTTGTTATTAAACAGCTATTTTCAGGCTACAGTATCTGCGCAAGGGATTGTTCGGATTTATGAAGCAGCTGATGTTATGGACTTGTCTAGATGGTCTTTATGTCACGAATTACAAGTATGAGTTCGGGATGGTTCTATTTTATTTGCTGAAATCCGTTTCCAACAAAGAGCACATCTCAAATAGGTTTTTGGAGCTAACGAAGTTGAAGTGTTCTCTTTTACTGCACTTGTTTTATTACAATATTTCACTCATTAAAATATTGCTACATGTTTACCTCATATTCTGATCCAAGGAATTCAAAAGTCCCTTTTCTTTAGCTGAAATTCCTGTCAAAAAAGCTTTGAAAGTTTGCATTTTGAGGCCTTCTACACAAGATGTGGGAGTGTTGAATGGAGTCGATCACGCATACATCGACCTCTTCTAGCCGTTGCTTCCGATGACAAGCGGGCAGAAAACGACGAACGTATCGTCATTTATGAGCACAATGAGAATTTGAGGTTTGCCTTAACCGAATAACTAAGTTCAGCTTCAAGCGAGATACACTCAATTGTATCTACTTTTTCAAAAATCATCTTCTTCTTGCAGAAAGTGGCAGCGAGTGATCTCATTACGGCTCGAGTTATCATTTCCTGTAACAGATTTGAAGTTTTCGCCCATTGCCGTCGCTGATTCTCATCAGTTGGCAGTAGCAGCAGGAGACGTTCACATTTACAATATCAAGGTATATTGAGTGCAGAATTTGCTGTAAACTTTTTAAGGGGTGTTCAGTGGGATGTGATATGTTCTCACTGATGATAGTCTAGTGCGCTTTTCAAGTTGGCCCCAGACGTTGTTAGTTCAACTGATTTTTGTCTTTTTGATTAGTTCGTTGAATTGCGATAATTTCGTACTAACTTATGCTTTCAAGTGCTTCGCTGCCTTGGGCGGTGAAAAAATGAGTACCTGAAATTTTTCTAAAACGTAGTAAATGTCTTACTCATCTTATGGAAGTTCTTGCTTCGAAGGTATCTATATATTGGTATTACATTTAAGTTTTTGGCAAAGACAAATTGATAGTTTAGAGGCAATAAAAGCAGAAGTCCTTTTTTTTTGAAATTTTGTCTCACTAAAGCTCGTGTTTTTCATATATATCGTTTATTGTAATTTATTAATATGTTTAATCCTTTGGAATTCATGGATGTTTTTATGCTAGATCATATGTTGAGTAATGTTCTATTTGAATAGATTATGTAATTGAGCAATAATCTAGTAGCAGACCACTACAGCGTGCATTTCAATTTTTTTATCCGAAAAGGAAATCCATTTGAAGTAAACGCTCTTTTTCATACTCCATATATTTATGAAGCCAATTTATCTCCACCATGTATTTTATAAGTCAGGAAATGCATTGCGAGGCTAAAGCTGAAACCTAAACTTTTGGATACAGATTGTGAAAGAGCAAAAAATTTTAACGACCATTTTGGCATCGAAACGCGATTTTTAATACTTCCAAAGAATTTGTGCCTAATCACAGGTAACTCTACTCATATCCTAATATATTATTGTTGACTTTGCCTACTGATCAATTTTCTTAGTTTAATTAGCAAAACAGTAATAAAGTACAAGGTCTTGTAATTTAGATCCCCGTTTCGGCTTTTGTTGATGATGACAACGGTACGCCGGAAAATGTTCCAACTGATGCGACAGAGTATTCGGCAAAAAGAGTATGTTTACTATTTTGATATAGAATCTTTTTCCCATACATTTTTGATTGATATTATCGTCATTGAGAAATTTCTTCCGAGATTTTGTTCACTTTTGACGCGTTCACTCCATTCGCACGTTTTCGAACTGAGTTTATATTCTAATCATCAGAAATTGAGGTAATAGTTGTATGAAAGTAGCTTGTAAGAGAACGTGCAAGGTAGAAGGAGCATCTGCAATGGAATGTGGTCTTATCAGATAACGTTTTGCGCATCTTTTGTAAATACAAGATTTTTAGGAATCCAATCAGTAACATAACTTTACCCCCTTTCTTAGGCCAAACAAAAAACTGCGCTGGTTTTTTTTT